AGATCATGCAAATAGCCTTGGAAGACCATAGTAAATTTTATTAAATCTTTTTTTTAATATTAGTAACCATTACTTGAAAGGTTTAAAATTAATTGAATTGCAAACACTAAGATTTAAATTAACTTAACAATTATACAATTGGGAGTTATTCCATTCCTCTTCCTAAACTTATTGTGTGGCATCAATTTCATTGAGTGGTGAAATTTGGACTCACAAAATCTCCAACTCCAAAAGACTTTCAGAAATGATTTTTTTTAAGCACCATTAAATAACACAAAATATTCTATAAAGATTTTAATATTACTTGTATGAATGATCAATACTTTGCAATGACTTATGCTCCTTAAATGATATTAGCTTGTTTTTGCAATTAGAAAATTGTATCAAAATTAGATGATTTCTTAAGTTTTATTTTTTCCAAAGTAAAATTGAGAGTAGCAAAGAAGATTTGATAGGTTGTTATGATAGTTTCTTTGATGTATATAATATCTTCTAATTACACAAGTAAACAATTATGTTATATAGAAATCAAATATAAATAAGAAATTAAGCAAGAAATAGACATATTATTAATTATTTAATTATTTATATTATTTTAACATATTAAAAATAGGGAGTTGTTAAAGCCACACCTCAATTTTGTTAATGCCGCATATTTTGCTCCCTCCCATTCTCACCCTGCCTTATCCTACCTTGTCTTGTTTTTATTCCTATCCATTCCCACTTATCCTATCTCCGTTCCTACCCACTTTATTCCATTCCATCCTATTTCCACCCCATTCTATGTCTACTCATTCCATTCTTCATCTTAAGTTATTTTTATTTAATTTAAATAAAAATAATAATTTTAATTATATAATTTAATCATTAAATTTTAAATATAATTATATAATAATAATCATAATAATAAATAAGTAAATTTGATAATAAGATTTAAAGTTTTTGAATTTAGAATAAAAATACTTATAATCATTTGTAGTATGAAGTTTTTAGTAATCTAATCTTATTATTTAAATCCTAATATAAATATTTTGTAGGTAAATAATAATTAAAGCATATCAAAATTAACTAAAATCTTAGTATAAATTCAAAATTATCAATTTTTTCTATTAATATATATTTAAAAAATCTGATTATTTTAAAGAATATTATTAATATATTTATTATAAAATTCAAAAAAATATATTATACATATTTCAACACATCTTTAAAAAAATTAAAATCTAAATTTAGAAGTCTTTTTATTTAATGAGTTTTTCAAATGATATTAATCAATGAAATAAGTCTCGTTGATTTATGGTTTTAGATCTAAAATAAGTTGAGTTGCAAAAATCCAAACATAACAAGAATCATAATCACAAATTTTTATATTTATCTTTTTGTCTTTTTATCTTTTCATTAATATTAAGTATATCTAAAATTAGAATTTTATTTCAAAATATTGTGATTAAATTTTTAAATATTACTCAACAAAATTTATCTTTTTGATAACATGTAAAATATTATTGGATATATCCAAAATTTTAAAAATATATTTATTTTCTAATAATATTTGTAATATGTCTTTTTTAATTTATTTGAATTGGTCTTTAAGATAACACTTTGGATGTATGAGTTTTGCATAGTAATAGATTTCATAGTGTATATATAAATTTTGAAATTCAAAAAATATATCAATTAATCAACCAACTTGTTAAAAAAACTAATTATTTAAATATAAGTAGAAAGAATTCTAAAAATATTATCATTATAAAAATATATATTTTATGACCAAAAAGATCCATAATATTAATGCAAAATTATTTTGTGTATTATTTATACATGATGTTACTTAAAAAGTTATAATTTAGACAGAGGCTGGGAATAGGGTTGGAGACAAGGGATGGATACAAATAAATCATGAGGTGAGAAGGGAGGGTGTTGCATTAACAAAATTTGGGTGTGGTTTTAAAAACTTCCCAAAAATATCAAGATAATTAATATTTAACATATTAAAAATAATTAGTGAATCTTTTATATAGAAATTTATTTTTTAATCCATCACAATATTATTAACAATTGAAACAAAATATATAGCTATTATAGAAATAACTAAAGAATTAATATGGTTGAAAAGACTTGCTAATAAATTTGGTTTAATTTCAGGTTAGACTTTATCATTTTATGATATTTGATATGTTATATGTTAAAAAAATGATCATATTTATGATTTGAAAATGAAACATACATATGTTAGACATCATTACATTAATATTATCACTGCTATTGTTCAAGTATATTTAAAAAAGATAGATAAAAAAATAAATATATAATATATGTTGATAAAATCAATAATATTTAAAAATAGAAGTCATGCATAAACTTATTGAGTATAAAATTTTTTTAATAAAATAATATCTATTAATGTATCATATATTAATTTTTAATTCTACTTATTAAACGAAATTTCCAACTATTAATGAATGTCCTTGTAAGAATTGTAAGAAAGAATTAGAGCTCTATTTTTTAGTTTTTTATTTTTATTTTTTAGAAAAAGAATTATAATCTGTATATAAACAAAGTTCTAATTTGTATATCATAACTCAATTTATTTTTTTTTCATTTAATTTTTTTTTGTTTTAACCTTTGTAATGATTGAACTTTGTAATATTTAGCTTTTTTTGTTTAGAAAAAGAATTATAATGTGTAATTATAATTTGTATATTATAAATTAAATTTGATAGAACTAATTCTAAATAATTAAAAAAAAAAAAAAAAAAAAAATCAGATCTTCTTAGACTCATCACTTGGTACATCAAAAAATAAAAATAAAAATAAAAAATAAGTCACAAAAAGTTTTAGCTTTTCAAAGAGAAAATCAATGGCTACCCAAAGAAAAAGAAACGAAGAAGCGGCCTCAAACTTACTTGTTTACTATTACTTGACAAATATTGAGAAAAAAAAGTACAGAAATGGAATGAACCAAATCTCAAAAAATATATTATCATCGACATTATTCTTCTACATACTCCAAGACAAGTATACAAAACTTTAAAAAAATCAAAGAATGTTAGTTACTGGAAGTAGGAAACTTCTTTTAATTTTTTTAAAAATGTTTCTTTATTGTAATAATGTAATCTGACAACATGCTAGAATTATGTGCTTATCATCATGTGCCAAAAATTCAGTTTAAGATTTATTTATTGTTTTGATTCATGGAATTTATCAAAGACCCATTAACCCATTAAAGAATAGGTTTATTCTAAACCAAGCATATATATATATATATATACCTTTCAGCTGTCCACGTTGGAGGACCATTTAAGTAGTCAGTATATTCATGAAGCCCTTGTATTCACAAGCCCACTCAGAATGTCCCTCCTGAGTTGGTACAGTTTCAGGCACATGGGCCAGTGTTACTGACTTCAGATGCCATCACTTCAGGGAAGCTCTTAATGGGGCTTGGATAGAGACAATGGAACCTTCTGAACTTACAGATAATATATCAAAATTGATTCTTAACAACAGAATTGTATTCATCCACGTAAAACAATTTGCATAGGAGACAAAAAAAATTAAATTTTTTTAAAAAAATCTCATTCATTCATTCAGTTCTACCAACCCACTTTTTATCACTTTTCAAGTTGTTGGGCATGGTATATTTGAGACTGTCCTTTTACAGAACTCTTATTTATTTCATATCTGCATAGATATGTAATATTAAATCTTTATAAAATGTGTTATTAATGATGTCAAGAATATTTGAATGGCATGGATTTTTGTTGCTTATATACACATATTGAAGAATGATTTTTCAGGCAATATGTAAACCAATGGAAAATTAATCAAGAAACATAAAAAAGTTGATGGTTTGTAAACATAATTGGGATATATAATAAATTCTTGCAGGATTGAAAAAAAAACGTAATTAAGAGATGTAGAATATATATTCATATATATAGATATTTGGTTATTTATTAAAGGCTATGGTGTTTGTTTTTGTACATTCATCTACAGTACTATCTAGATACTCGTGCATTCATAGGTCAATTTTTATTTTTACTTCTTTTTATTTTTATTTGAATAATCTTTGACACCACTAAAGTTGACGCTATTGCCTGTCGTTGATAGAAGTCCTGATGTTGTTGCTAACCACTCACTACTATTGTTTGCTGTTAATGTTGACGTTTTATTTACTACCATTGACTATTTCAAAAAAATACAATTAATTACAATGCAAATAGTGTAGCTAAGAATCTAACAAATATATCCTATTATTTTCACCCAAAAATTAGTTAATGTAACAATACATACATACATACATACATACATACATACATACATTTATTCACACAAGAAAAATTATCTTAAAGTTTAGATAAAAATAAGTGTATATAAAAGGAAAATAAAATAAAAATAATATATATATATATATATATATATATATATGTTTTCCTCTTGAATTCCTTTTCTAAAATCACAATGAATTATAAATACATGACCTTCACATAGTAGAGGACCACACAATGTATAAATTGTGCTGCAATGGTATTCAATGCACAATCAACGTATCAAAAAAGCTGAAACAATTTCCAACCCATGGTTGAAACAAACTTTGAAAAAAGCACCAGAATTTTCCAAATAATTATCAAGGGAACACCCATTAACTGTTGACCCAACTCAAAAATCCTCTAATTTTGGAGAATAATTTTAAAAAATAAAAATAAAAGTCAATTGATTCCTACGTACTAAGTCCAAGAGAAAACCCAATCCAACCCCCATGCCGTAGTAATACAATTCACACCCCATGGACCCGCAGCGATGGGTATAACCGCCCTCCGTGGACGCGGCACTGCCCCACGAAAGTTCCTGACCTCTGCCCGGAATGACACGGTCCACGGTATTAGAACCCGTTCTCCGACTCCATATTCTACGGGTCTTGGTCCAAGTCCTACGAGGGGAGGAGGGGTCTTCGGGAACAGACAGACTCTTTGAGTCCTTTAAAGTAGTGCTGAGCTCGCCAATGAATGCTGTATGTGTGTGAGTGTGTGTGTGTGTGCTCTCATGGCCATCGTCGTCGCCATTGCTGTTGCTTGCTCGCTCGCTCGATTGCTTGCTTGCTTGCTGCCGTTGTCGTGGTCGCTGTCCGTCACGTACTTCGTACGGTGACCTCATTGATTTTTTTTTTTTTTTTTTTTTTTTTTTTCCAACTCTGATGGCCCCAGCGCCTACTGCTACACGCCCGACCATTGCAGCGTGATAGTGTGTCAATCTGGAACAGTGTGACGAGAGCTTCTTTTCCGCTTTTTTACTTTCTATATGGTTGAAAGTAGACAGTGCAATTTATTGAGTTCGGGCGGGAGGTTGGATGCGGCGGTTTTTGGAGATTTTCGAAGGATTGGGGATCGATAACAGACAGTGGATGGCTTTGAGTTAGGCAATTGGCACTGGGTTCTTTTTGTATTGTGGAGCGAGTGGCATTATTGATTCTTGTAGGTCGAGCTGGATGTGGATGATGATGATGATGATCATCGTCGTTGTTATCAAGGTTTGATGGCCTCTTGGTAGGTAAGGTCATTTCTACTGCGGCTGCAGCTGCAGTTCTGTTCTCAGGACAAACTCTCCAGGTTCCTTCCGGGTGCCGGAGTAGCATTTCGGAGGGCCTCTGTTGAGGTTTTGGTTGCAGAATACTTGGCTTTATTTTGGTGGCTCATATTTCGTCCTTCTGTGTGATGCTGATAGAGTGGCCTTAGTATCTGCAATTTGATTACTGCTTGTTTGATAGCCATAGCAGAAATCTTTGGAGGAACGTTTTGGGAAGAACTTCCAGTTTTAAGCAAATACCTGGTGTAGAGCTTGGCTGAAACTCTGAAGAGCGGACAAGTAACAAGATTTGAAGCTATGGCAGCTGTGACGGATCATGGATAGAAATCAGAATTCGCATTTCAGTGACGTTGTGATGGTTATGCTTAAATTGGGTACTTGACGGCTTTCAGAGTGGCGAAGTACTCCCTCAGCAGGTTCAGCTGACGGTTTATTCCTGATTTTGTAACCTTCAGAGCTGGTACTAAATAAATAACAATCCATGTGCATAAAGCGAAGCTTCTTGTGCTTAAACTGTCCCTGAAGGGTAATTCCAGTTGACTGTTTTCAGACACTCGGACAGAACCTCGCATATGAGCAGCTGCAAGCGTGACTGAAAAATGAAAAACAGATTTATGCTGCGGGTGTCTACGACTGACCTTCACTTCTTCTTCAAATTGATCGTTATTATCAACTTGTGGGCACAAGGCACGGAGCCTGTGGTGTCTCAACAATCCAGCAACAATACAGAGATTACCATACCCCTCGGAGAAAGGCTCGTCGCAGGTGATGCTGATCAGTCTTGGATATCATCACCCAACGGAAATTTTTCCTTTGGCTTCTATGCTATTGACGGTGGAAAGACTACAGTTAGCTACAAGTTTGGCATGTGGTATACGCATGTACCTGTACAAACAATCGTGTGGGGATTAGTGGAGAACAATGCTTCGTTCGCTGCTGGGACAAAGTTAGCACTCACCTCCACCGGAAATCTCGAGCTTCGTAACTCGGATGCCTCTCAAGGTCTTAATTGGTCCAGCAATACGGCCAGCCTTGGCGTCAGTGGGGCGGCCTTCAATGATTCAGGGAATTTTATTCTGTTAAATAGCACTGGTTCACATCTATGGCAGAGCTGGAATCACCCTTCAGACACTCTTCTGCCAGGCCAGGTTTTGTCTCAGGGGAAAAATCTCACGGCTGCCGAGAGCCCTCACCTTTCAAGTGCAGGCGTGAGCCGGTATACACTTGCTTTCATGACAGACGGGAATTTGGTGCTGCGTTTTAATAGAACAACTGATTATTGGAGTACCGATTCCTCAGGGGGCTCTAGTGTTTCCTTTGATGAGTTCGGAACTTTTCAATTGCTGAATAGCTCAGGATCTGCAGCTTCGTACCGGAGCAGAGACTACGGGGTAGGGCCACTTAGAAGGTTGGTTCTGACATCGAATGGAAATTTAGAGACTTTGAGTTGGGATGATGTGGCGAAGGAATGGATGTCAAAATGGCAAGCTTTACCTAATGCATGTGAGATTTACGGCTGGTGTGGGAAGCATGGACTGTGTGCGTATTCAGAGACGGGGCCTGTTTGCTCTTGTTTGCCAGGTTATCAGGCTATCAATTCCAACAGCCCACGAGAAGGGTGCCGTTTGATGATCGCCCTCAATTGCACCGCAGGAGTGAAAATGGTGACGCTGGAGAATACATTCATACTTGATTACAGATCCGACTTCCTCATAAACAGTGCTAACAGTGAGAGTTGTGCTAAAAAGTGTTTAGACGATACGGGCGCTGGGGGCACCTTGCAATGTGTGGCTTCCACTTTAATGAATGACGGCACCGCTTTCTGCAAGGAGAAACGTAATCAATTCTTCAGCGCTTACCGGTCCTCCATCATTCCATCCCAGACTTTTGTCAAGCTTTGCAATGACCAGGAGGTAACGCTGGGATTGCTATCCATTGGCTGCACTCGCTCTGGTTCTCGATATTCCAGAGGAGTTTTGGTGGCTCTAGGTTGCGTTTCCACCCTAGCGGTCCTTCTTTTGCTGCTACTTGCACGGCCATGTTTGTCTCGGTGGATGAAATCGAATGCATTCGAGCACAGCAGAAGACGCCCTCGGTCGCCATCTCCTGATTATGTGCCTGGTGCGCCAGTAAGACTAACGTACCGGGAGCTTCAAAAGGCTACCAGGAATTTTAGCGAAAAGCTGGGGGATGGTGGATTCGGGACAGTGTACAAGGGTGTGCTTGCAGACGGCACAGTCGTAGCTGTGAAACAATTGGAGAATGTTGTTGACCAAGGTGAGTTCTACATTGTTTTTTTGCTGCTGAATCGATTTTAAATAAAACAACTGAGGAAGCCACTGAAAGGAAAACAGGAAAATGAATTCTGGGGCTCTAGGATTTAGTGACGCAAACCTCTTCCGAGCAGTCACCTTGATATCCCGCGGGTGGGTTCCATAAGTTGCCTTCCCTCAACTTTCTTGCTGCACTGTGCAGGTGAACGAGAGTTTCGAACTGAAGTTTCAGTAATTGGCAGTACGCATCATGTTAATTTGGTCCACCTCCATGGTTACTGCACAGAGAGAGTGCACAGATTGCTGGTTTACGAATATCTAAGCAAAGGCTCACTGGACCACTATCTTGTGCAAGGAGGTGAACCAAATACTACCTCGAGCAGCTCCTCAAGTAGCAGGAGCGCGACTTCTCAACCTCCAATACCGTTGGATTGGAAGACACGATTCACAATAGCACTCGGAACAGCACGCGGCATCATGTACTTGCACGAGGAGTGCCGTGAATGTATCGTACATTGCGACATCAAGCCCGAGAACATACTCTTGGACGAAACCTTCTGTCCCAAAGTTTCCGATTTTGGCTTGGCGAAGCTTTTAGGGCTAAGGAATCGCGAGCGCCACATAACCACCATTCGAGGCACCAGGGGATATCTTGCGCCGGAATGGAGCGCAAGTTTACCACTGACGGCCAAGGCAGATGTATACAGCTATGGTATGGTTCTCCTTGAGCTTGTGGTTGGAAGGAGGACACTGGATGACATGGCAGGCGAAGCTGAACTCATCCGGTTTCCCAAGTGGGTCTTTCGGGACATGATTGATGGCAGCCTTGTAAAACGCACTAAAGAGCAAGCTCGGAAGCTCGGACAATCTGTCGATTTGGACCAGTTTGAGAGAACCATTTTCACGGCCTTCTGGTGCATTCAAGATGAACCAACGGCGCGACCGAGTATGGGGAAAGTTGTGCAAATGCTCGAAGGCATTATCCCCGTCGACTTTCCCCTTGAACCACTGAATATCCGAAAACTCTGAGGGTCCAGCTGCAGATGTGGTCTTAATCCTTAGGTCGACTCGATAATGCTATTTTGAGGATTCTGCCATGTACATTAACTTGACAGGCTTGTGTCGATCACCTTAATTTCAGCTACCCCCACAATTGTCCGAAGTCTATTCTATGTACAACATCAATGTAGATCCATAAAATTCAGTTCTAGACATCAATTCTCATCGCGACGTCCTGAAACTTCTCACATGCAAGTGTAGCTCTCAATGTTCTGGTCTCAATCTTTTTCACTATGTGCAACTGGAAAGGAATTGAAGAAAGTATCGGAGGTATAGCAGCCTTTGACCTGGACGTGTCTTCTGCTATCATGGTACTCCCCTAGTCCTTCATTCGTTGTTGTATTCCAGAGGAAGAGCTTAATTGATTTCAGCTTTTGCGGTGGCCAGAGACTTCTGAGTGATTGTTAATTTTCGATTGTTTGAAAGAGTTATTTTTGGATGTAGAGAAGTTTTCAATCAACCAGAACATCGTTTTCTGAAGTTACTGTGGAGGTGGTTGTTTTTGTACTGGTTTACTCGAGTTTATGTAAGGCAGTGTCCACTACTGTTTCAGCGGGTCTGCTTATCTGGTTCGTCAAGTCTTAGGCACCCTGGTAGTGGCATGGAAGCAAAGCTCGGCAAAGCCTTTGTAAGGGGACCGACATCGAAGTAGCCACCAGAAATCTGAGCAAGCCTGCGGAGTGCAAAGGTATTGACTCCGACCATAACCAGGCATGACAATGACATAACATTTAAGAAAATCCGGAATCTGCTAAGGTGGTTTGACACCGAGGGACAACTTGGAGGGGACGAAGGACAAGGCTCTTGGAGTGTTGGACATCTCATTTTGCAATGATGTCAGTAAGTGTTTCGATAGCACAGTATATTCAAAAGAAAGTTTGGACACAAAGAAGGCAACGCAAGCGGGAGCACAGCAAGTGAGGATGGACTTCGCGAGTCATCACAAATAAGTACGAAAATTAGAAAAAAGTTAACAAGAATGTGTCGTCCACAGTAGTCTTGTTAACACGTAATGATATTTTTCTTAAACGTACAAAGTGTTGTCAACAAGTACGAGTAATCACATGTTGGCGCTTGAATCCTGTTATCCGACCAACAAATCAATTGCATGATGAAATTTTGTTCAGATACAATTTCCACACGAAGTGGTTGCAAGTTTCGAGGGGACAATGCTGGATGGGTTGATGACGTGGCTTCTTAATTTCCCAGCACGTTCGAACTACTCCCAACGCCTGAAAGGAGCACCTACAGGGTTTTTTGAAGCTTCATTTCTCCAGTGTTCACAATTCTATTACAAAGTAGATAATTCTCGTTTGCATGGAAAATGCTACTATATGCACGCCCTTGTAAGCATGATATTAGTACTGCTGAGCGTGCGAACAACGATGGTGTGGCAAAACCACGCGACGTGGTTCTCACCTCTATCGTTTAGGTGTCTCCTGCTAGTTCGTTATAGAATGTCGTAAGTAATTATGTACCTTCTTGAGAACGTAATTGAACGAATGAGAAATTCCAGATGGGAGACACCGTCACAAGCTTCAGTCAGCTCTGGGGCCTGTCAGACTTGAACCACAAATCCTGCAAGATTCCACCGGTGATAATGGGGTTCAAAGGATGAATAAGCTAACTTACTATAGGAGTAAACACAATTGCACAGCAAGAATAGAATTGAGGATTCCTAGCATTTCTCCTCATAGATATTATGCTAAAACCTTCACGAAGATCAAAGATCAGAAAAACGTCAAATATAATCACATACAGAAAACTTCGACGACCGTTGCTGTACCACAGTTCAGTAACCCCTGCGTGAAATTCAACCGACACTCATTCCAGATCCACAAACCTTTTACGGCAGTAACAATCAGCTGCATTGCAACAGTCAGATATGAAAAAAAAATGAATTGAGAGGATGCAGGGCATAATCAGCCTCGAGTTATGAACATATTTTATTCACGATTCGAAATCTTTTCGGGGATCTGAGCAACGATCAATAAAGAATACTCTACTGCTTCCTACAACTCAACCCGCTCATTGGAATGTACAAGATATGAGTGGTAAACATTAGGATTACTTCGTCATAACTCTTGCCATGTTGCATTTCCTGTTCGCCTTGAAATCTCCGCCAGGGAATCCGTTGGCTGAACCTCGTACACACCTAGTGAAGGCCGTCTTCTCTCCCGGGCCACTACCATGACCACCAAAACACCAACAAATACAACTCCAGCAGCGTATGGAAACCAGGAATACCGTCCCTTGGGGTTGCGAGACATCCCCTTCTCTTTGGCCCCATACTGCTCCAGGGCATCTGGTGACTTCCTAGGAGATTGACTAGCTTTTAAGGTACCAATTCCCAATTCAACCACGGGCTGTGGCTTCTCAGACAAACCATTGTGATTGACAGGTCTCACGTATTCGTCCAAGTCCTTGGGCTCCATAGCAGAGAGATCCCCGCTGAAATCACCAACATTCTCTGGGTCCTGCAGAGCATTCCGTGGTTGTTGAAGTCCTCTTGAATCTACTTCTGGGCTAACACTATTAGATTCTGAGTCACCCATTGATAAATCTGCAGCGCTCGATGAGATCTCCTTATCGAGATCCAAAATAATGTTACTTTTGGCCGACGCAGGTCCATTTGACGGTTGCTGGAGAGAGTCTCGAAGGTTGTGGACTACGTCACTAGGCATTAAGTGCTTAGGAGGAGGACTGAGTAGCGTGTGCTTCGGATTATCAAAATCAGGCAAATGAATGTTTAATGTTCGAGCTTTCTTTGACAACCTAAGTAAGCAAACACACACGTGGCGTATATCTTTCTTATCGACTGCATCAGATGGGTTGAATAGATCCAAATCCAACAAGCCTACGTCCTTGCAAACCTTGAGGAAAGCTTCAACATATGAGTAAGGTTGATACTTGAGGCTAGTCCTGGTCCGGTTCACGTCTGGAGAGGGAACTGCAGCGGCAGGTCGGTTCGCAGCATTTCCTTTAAGTTTACCAAGGTTTTCTTTTACAATCAGCGATATTCTATAGAGAATGGTGCCATCAGCTAATAGATCTTGTAGGCTCGTATGTGGGTCCAGCTTTTCCTCCAGCACTGCCTCCAGCCATTCTCTAGCTTCAGTTTGTAGAAACTCCACATCTGACTCTCGGAATGAAGCACTTGAAGAGTACCCTCGAGAAGAGCTTGAAGTAGTCGGTTGAGGAGGGATGGATGCCTCCATCTCTTGTTGAAGAACTTCAATAGTTTGATGTTCTGATCAGGCGGTCTTGAAGTGTTTTCTTTCCAATTCTGTTCCAAGCCAAAAACTTCTTTCACCACATAACTACGCAATGCAGCAAAAGAACACTTTACATCAAGACTAGCTTCTACAATTTTTCCTTTTTAACGTTCTCATGGAAACAAGCTTCTACGGATGCAGATATGAAGAGGCCGTCCTGAGAAGCATAAAGTTAGACGTAGTGCTTACAGGCTATGCAGCAGTAAATAAAAGACCCTCACCCACCATCTTTACGATTCATTGCCGCTGCTCCAAGTTAAAAAAATAGCTGTAGATCATCACCACGACAATAATCATTAAAATGCCATCAGTGGATAACTGCGCGTGTTAACCTCTTCTAGATACAAACGCTATTTATTGCAGGGAATGCAAAATCATAATGAGCTTGGAACCATAAATCAGAACCTATTACTCCAATCCACTTTCTAGTTAAGGGGTGTCGTGGTTTCAGAAACCAAAAAAACAAATTTCAACTGTGTGCATCACAATTGTAGCTACAGAAACACAGTCAACCTTTCCTGTCCCAAAGCACTCGTAGTGCAAGCATTGGTAGATTTTATGGTTGGCAAGGTCTTCCGGTGTCCAGTAGTGCAAGGGCAAACTTTTACAATAAAGGAGAAATATAAGAATCTAAGTTGCTAAACAGATTAAATTCCAGTCCGTCACATTATCCTGCCAGGGTGAAATTTGTTTGCCGAACGACAACATCCCTTCTCGAAAGACGCTTGCGTGCACGAACCAGACAGGTGCAGTAAGATAAATCTGGTGATAAAAAATTCTATCAGATAACAGTTGACAAAAAAACACTAGCTTAGAGAAAGTGAACCAACACAGCCGATTTCACAGAACCCATAAGCTCTCCATTTTTGTCAGCAAAAATTCAACTCAAAAGCAACAGTGAGACATCAAATCCTCGGTTAGCACATCGAACGAGCTCTGAGGGCGCGTTGAGCCGTGTCTACGAGAAGACAGAGATCCTTGACTATGACGCAATTCCGCTACACCACCGTTAAAAAAACACCCTTTAAATCTATTTCAAAAATCTAGTACTCGAACGGAGGCGGCTGACGAACTTGAAAACACTCGAATCCAATCTAAACCCAATTCTCAAAACCTCCACGAAAACCAGAAGCATCAAACGAATTCCGGCTCGCTGGGCTGGAAAAAGGCAAGGATTCCGTGCGTGGTAGCAAGACAGACACGACACACAAGAACTTATCAGAAATGTGACGCGAAGAAGATTGGAAAGCACTCACCGATGAAAGGGAATTTTTCTTCAAAAAATGATCACAAAGCTCCGCAATCAGCCGTCAATATTCAAACCCACATCTATTGCGGCACCTATGCCTGAACCCAGCTGGGCATTCAATCCTGAAGGCGACGATGGAGGCAGATGGATCGGGAAGATTGAAGCAGAGCAAACGTTGTTGCGAAGCAGATGCTCGGAATCCTAAACCCTCTCTACCTCTCCCGCTGGCTGGAACGGGCCGGGCGTGCTCCGATGTGAACCCCCAATCGCCCCGTCCGCCGGGTTTTGTTTCTTTTATTTGTTGATGGTTGAGATCGATCTTCTGCGAGAGGGCGATTGCATCCTGATCGTTCAAATTCAACGACGTCGTGATGAATGTGGATGATAAGTTATCGAATGAATGTTTTGCATGAAAGGTTGTGTCACTCCGATGCCATTTCTACCACCAGTGGATAAAGTGAATTTCAATTGTCCTCATTCAGTACAATTTTTTTGCTTTTTTATGTTTTTATGTTATGTATATATATATATATATATATATGTATACATATATAGATAGATATAGTAGACTTAAATACTCTCCAAGGTTTCATTAAGCATGGTTGTGATTTTGCATTTGGAATTCGAACTATTAACTTATTTGATGTTGTTTTCTTAAAATTTAGGTTATACATATATATATATATATATATATATATATATATGTTAGTGTGGTATCATTCTTGATCTATTTAAGACACTAATTTTTTGTGGTATTTTTTAAAAGTTTGAAAAAAATAAAATAAAACAATCTTTAAAGATTTAATGTTAATAACAGATTTAAAGATTGTTTAACAATGAATTGTTGTAATTTAAGGAACTTGAAAAAATTTACAAATTGTTAATTGAAATGAGTTGTGATATGTTATTTTACTTTAAATATGATGGTTTTTTATTTTATTTGTCATGAATATGATTAATAAAATAAAAATAAAAAACAAATAATCAAATAATCAAATATGTTCTTACTACATTGAAAGATTGAAGCAACTGAGTGCAAATGAAGAGTATATAGTCATGAAATCTACTATTTATTGAAACCTTTTCTTAAATCTATTATTTAATGAATTTTATTTTAAAAAATATTTTTATAGATATTTTTTAATTATTGAAAAAATAATTTTTGATTAAAAATAATATTAGTCATATGAATATTTTATGTAAATTTTAAGATCTACTTCATGTTTAGATCTAAATTTAAAAAGAACAATGGTACTTGCAAGATAATATTATTTTTAAATATTTTTGAAATAACTTAGTATTAAAAATAAATTTAAGAAAATAATTTTATATTACTTTTCAAAAATCAATCTTTGAAGTGCAGAAATTCAAATATATTTGGTAGGAGGTTGAAAACTATATCCAATGATTTAAAAAGAACAAAATTATAGGTAGTTAGGAGAGAAGCTATCTTTTTTGTATAACAAAAGATGATTCATAGAGAAGATACTTGATAAATATATAGTATTAGTCAAAACAAACAAAGACAAATAAATCATAATGCTTATTTATCTAATAAAATTTAATTTAGGGATTTAGAAGAAAAAATTAAATTAAAGAGATTACAAAAAGTTTTGAGGTTTGTTGAGGCTGCTATTTTGATGCTGTTTCTTTTTTATTACATTTTTTAAAGTATTATATTGAATTATATTCTTAAATAAATAATTATTTGCAGCATTGTTTTAGAATTAAAATGTATGTATTTTAAAAAAAATATTGTATAATTTTCTACAAGATTCAGAATATACATTAATAATGTTGTATTACAAAATAATATACAATAACTTAAATATAAAATATTTGTAAATATAAAATTATATCAATAATATCTTTAATTTAAAAAATACTCTAAAACCACTATAGATGCAATTTGAATTTATAAGTCATCTTAGATGCGATTAAAATAAATTATATAAAAATGAAGAAGAAAAAAAAACAAAACAAAACAAAACAAAGAAACAAAAAAAGAAAGATGGTATATTATCTTTGTTTGTGCTATTTAAATTTTGCAAGAAGTTCAAAGCATCATCAAAACAAAAGAATAAAACAATCATTTAGAATAAACAATGCCAACAAATTTTATCATTCTTTGGTTGCTAATTTTATAAATATAAATAAATAGGATATTTTAGACAAGAAAAAAATAAAAATAAAAAAACTTAGAATTTAAACTAGAATATTTTAATTAGGTAATTAAAAGTGGTTGAATCTAAAGATTCTATTTGATATTTAATTTTTTATAAACTAAGGTAGCTTTTATAATATTTTAAAAAATAAAATTAATTTTTGATTTTTTACCAACTCTTAATTCTTAAAATCAAAATTTGTCTCTTATTTTAGTTATTTAATTGGTATTTGCTCAACAAATATAATACTAAAGATGTAGAGGGACAAATAATATGTTTTACACAAACAAATTTTAGAACAAAAATATTTTTCAAACTTGAGTGGTTTTTATCAAAAAGAAGAAATGGATTATTTAGAGGATTATATTACAATTCAATTGATAGATGTTAGAAAGATATAAAAATAAGATATATACATACATATATATATATATATATATATATATATATAAGTTTCAAATATATTTTACTTGTAGCCAAAAAATTTATAATAATTTTAGAAAATTATCATAATAATGGATATTAGAACATAGGTTAATAGAGTCTTATTAAATGATAAGAAGGGAGTAGTTTAAAAGAGAAGATCTTTTAGAACCTCTTCTTTGTTTGTTTCGAACTTAAACAAAGTCTTTAATACATATGGTAAGATTTTTATACAAGATAATAAACAATTCTATATATTGATATTTTTCTTAGCGAAATTGGTTTTTGGATATTTTTACTAATTTAACAGAATAAAATAAGCCACTAATTTTTGGTTACAAAGTCAGTAATTATTTCAAGGCTAATACAAATAGGTGAGCAGCTTCGGCCTCATGATGTGAAGGAAGTCGACGCTAAGAAAAAGTTGAGCTCCTATAATACTCTGATCTCCATCAAATGAAGCTTGATCTCAGCCCACAGTTCATACTTAAAATAAAAAATAAAATAAAAATTCGTTCTAGGTTTTTTGTGAAATTATTAACTGATTGTCAAATGACATATACTCCAACTTAAAGAGTGATGGTACAGCGGAGCTAGGCTAGGCAGACTGAGGGTAGGAATGGTCCATCATATTAGAGTATACTTGAAACTCAATTTCAAAGTATTCAACACGTTCTTAAGTACTATGAGGCGATTAGTCCAACTGGGCGTGTGAATTGA